TTTGTTGGTTTTGTGTGTTTTTTGGTTTTTGTTTTTTTTTTTTTTAAATGACTGTCACGTACACACAGGAAGCGCATGTCCATCTTTAGCCAACGGACATCACGACCATATATGGGCAAAATAATCCATCACTGCAAAATCGTATCACTGCAGTCGAGCGCTCAGGCAGGAATAGGAATACTTTAGCCCCAAAAGCCGCGCTTGCTTCAACACACGCAGTAAATCAAGTTCACGGATTCCCAAAATGTCAGGAAAAAATTGAATATCTGGAAAACAGAATTCCTTACCTGTTGGCTCGAAGGCAGCTCCGTTTCCTCTTCGGGTCCTCGTGCACCTGCTGCTTGGCGGGACTCTTCCGGTGGCAGAAGATGACGTAGTTCATCTCCCGGTTGTTGGCCCAAAAAGTCCCGGCCGACGTCTCGTAGCGCAGACAAAACTCAACCCGGGTCCCCGCTTTCTCCAGCGGAGGGACCAGGGTGTACTGGAAGGTAAAGCGGTCGGTTTTGCGATCACTCGATCCGGGCACGTAGTCGGCCGGCAGGTCAAAGTAGCTCTTCCAGCTGTCCAGCGTGATGCGGGCGTAGACGGACTTGCTGAAGCAGAGGTTGAGGACCCGGACGCAGCCTCGGAGGGTGGTGGTCCCCGGGAGGAGCTCCACGCTCTCCAGCTCCGCCATCTGGCCCTCCAGCCGCCGCAGCAGCTCCTCCTCGGACGGGGGCGCCGCAAACAGACACGACAGGTGGAACTCCTCTTGCGCCGGCGCCTCCCTTTCGCCGACCTCCTCGTCCTCGGCGGCGGCGACGTCGTCGTACTCCTTGACGGACACCAGGTCCAGGCCGAAGGCGTCGGCGAAGGACACCCTCCTGCGGACGGTGGGGGTTTCCTCCCATTGCCCGTCCGTCGAAGAGCCCCAAGAGGAGAAGGCCTCCATCCTGACCTCTTCACCTTCACGTTCCCGCCTGGCTAAAGACAACCCGTCCTCCTCCGGGAGCGGAATGGACAGAGCCTCCATGGTGCGCGAGGGTCCGAGAGCCAGCTGTCGGCCTCTCCTGCCGCGGAGCGCAGTGCCCTCGGCCTGGCCGCGGGACACTGGAGAAGGGGGCGAGCGAGGGAGAGGCGACGTGACTGAACAGATGGAGTTGGGTTGCAGCTGAGTCCGGGCCAGGACTATTAATAGGCCACATGCGGCTCCGGCGAAGGGCTCGCATTGGTTATTCGCTCGTTTATCCTGTCACAATGTGTTTGCTAGCGACAAGGAGAAATAAATCCAAACGCGGCTTATGTAACGCCACTCTGGACACGACAAAGCTCACGTCCGCGGGGGCCGATGCGAGCGTTGCACTCAAACCCAAACAAAAAGACAACTCTCAGACCTATTCTGGCTCAGACTTGAACAACTCGTGTCCTCAAGTGCCCCCCAAGACACCAGATCCAACATTTCCCATGATGCATCATTTGTCTGACTGGATAGGCCTCGAACGACAAGCGTGTTTCGTGATCGACTGTTCTCTCCAGTGACAACATTTCACCTCATTTTTTTTGGGGAGGACCAAAAAGGGGAGATTATTCCCTTCTTTGTGTCGCAGATTAAGCCCTGAATGCGTTCAACCATGTGAGCTTTAATTCAACTAATCCTCGATATGCAGTGCGACCGTCATCCCCTTACGGTTACAGTAAATCTTGTCAGTCGACTTCAATGCGACCGGCGCAATCCTTCACAGGTGGCCTCTATGCGCAAAGAAAGAAGACTTTGTTCCCGAGCCAAATATTTCCCTCTAATGACTTTTAATGGCCCGTTTGGACCTCGGCTATTATGAAGCGTCCTTACTTTGCTCTCGTCATCGTCACAAGTGTTCATGAAAAGAGTGAATATGGTCTGATTGGTGATGATGTCGAGAATGCGCCGTTTTTTTTTTGTTTTTTTGTTTTGTTTTTTGTTCAAGATGTGACGATTGCATCCAGAAGACTTGTAATGTCAATGTGCGATCACTAGATGGTAATGTTTGATCACGATTAAGTGTAGTCTCGGCTACGAGCACGCAGATAGAAAACAACACGCAGTGAAGAAGCATGATTAGACTTCGACACAAACAAAACAAACGTCCTTTTCGTGCAAAACGACAAAATGTGACTCGTTCATTCTGATTTCCTGATTTCTACAGCGCTTTCACAACAGCTGCAGCTGTGACTCGTTAAGTAAAACAAAAAACGAACTCAACATGAATCTAAAGCAAATATACGAAGATGACACCACCACGAACAATTTCGTGTGCTGTTTGTATATTGGGGGCGGGTGGGGGGCGCAAAAAGAGAGAAATCGTTCATTGTTTTGGGCCATCGCTGACTGTCATTTCACAAATGACCACTTGGTGGCAGCAAATCCCCGCGTATCAATCAAAGCGTTGCAGCCCACCACCGACGTCGTTTTCCACTTTTTAATTGAACTATTCGCATCTCATTCAACATTTGTAACACATGCAGGCATACACATCCAGCCACG